AATAGTTCGCATCTGTATAACTCATGAATTGAGTATGCTAATAAGGATCCTTAAAATATTGAACTATTTCGTTTCGTTTAAAACTAAACCACATTTTTTAACAATTGGATACAAAAATTATCTTTTAAAATAAATTAATTAATCATTTTGTTATGTTAAACAAGAACTACTTATAGTTTTAAATTATTATTAATTAATAAATTGTAAGTAGATTTACTGGTTTAATTTTTAATTTTTATTCATGAAATTAATTTTTATTTTATTGTTTTTAATAATTAGCATTTAAATAATATTTACAATTAAATAGTTTGAATTTTCATAAGTTTTTGCTCGTTAAAAAATTAAAATGTTTATATTTTTATTTAGAGTCGTTGAGCACAATCAACATGAAAGCATGGGAGTAATTTAAATATTTTCGGGTTATGGTATTTAATGTAAATTGATATTCATTTCATTGATCACCTGCAAATTAGTGCTTAAAATTAATTGAGCTTCATGATACTTAAAGAAAATTAGCTAGAAACGTGCATAATTGAAAAAATATCAATTATTTGATTGATATTGTCTGTGATTGTCTGCTTGATTGTAAAATAATTTAAAAACAAATATCTTTTATTTTCAAAGATAATATTAAAGTCTGACTTTCATTTTATTTTAAATAATTATTCATTTGTTTAAAATTGCAGTAAATTCTGGAAATTTCTAAAAACATAACAGTATAAGATTATTATTAAATTTAATTTAAATGCTACAGACCAAGCTGAGCTATAATAAAAATAATTCATCATTCTTAAGGTCTAGTTAACTTCAAGAAATCTTTCTAGAAATGAACTTCTAAAATTTAATATTTGTTGAAAACTTTGAATACAAGAAGGAAGCTCACTTGGAAAATATCAAAATATGGTATGTGTGCAATATTTTTGTAAGCGGGATTTTTTATCTATTTTTCTGCAGTAAGCAAACCAACTTTTTTAAGCTTCAAAATATCCGCTCGTTCCGGAAACCAAATCCCTTGGCCAAAGTTATATCCACCTTCCACATCCGCCTCAGCATCAATCCATTTTCTGCCCCTCACTCATTTCAAGGTGGCGAGGAAACGGGCAAATCCCTCTCGGGTCGTTCCACAAAACTTTTATGGACGCTCCCTCGCTCACTCCTCTGCACTTGCAACGCTCCTTAATTTTATTATTTCCAAACTGCCCCTGCGGTCGCTGTTTGCACTTCGGAAGCGTTTTCAGCTACTGTGACCTGCAACCAACTAACTTGTCAAAAAAATCCACTTTCTTGAAGTGACCGGTCTCATATCCATGCAAATGCAGAATGAAAAAAAAAAACAATCTGTTCGTGCCGAAGTGCGGAAAATAATATAATTTGAATATGAAAATCGTTCGGCCAGTCCTCGTTTTTTTTCTTTGCTTTCGGGCGGAATATAAAATTTAGGCAGCACCACTTTTCCTCTTTTTCACGGAGAGAGTAAGCTAGATTGGAGTGGTGCTTGGAACAACAGAGAGTGCTTGTCCGTTTTGATAAAGGCGCACTCTTGTGGAAGGACCTGCTGAGAATTTCTGAGAAGAGGCGCAAGAAAGTCTGTGCGTGCTGAATTTTTTCCCTTACTTTCTCGTGCGAAAATCATAAAGTGTAAATCTGCTTGGACAGCAAAGAAAAATTGTTCCACTTTTCATGTCAAATCTGAAATTAGCTCTACAGTTTATACTTCATATTTTAATCAAAATTCAAATTTAATAATTTCATGACAAAATTCTGCAAAAAAAAATGCCATCAAAAATTCTAGTTTTCAAAAAATTGTTTAAAAAAATATTCCACAATAATTACAATAAGTAAATTCTAGTTGCATATATTTGAAATAAGAATTACAAAATTTGCAAAGATCCATTATCACTATTATCAGGAATAATTTGAGTATGAAAGTTATTATAAATAAATCACTTTTTTTTTTTAAATATTTTGAAAAATTGAAATAATTCCTGTGATAATCTTTATGTTATATCAACAATGTGCTCCTCATTTCTACAGACTGTCTCATTTTTGTCAGTTAAGAGCAGTTGACAAAGACAGACACTCTTTTAGAGCGGAATGAATTATAAACAATCACGGCATGAGGGCGAGCAACAAACCCACACAACCGGAGTTAATTTCCATTAAGCTTCTGTCTGCGGCTGCAATTGTCAAGTTAGTGTTCGGTTGTGTGTTATTAAGAATGCAGCCAGGAGGGGTCTAGCCATGTCTCTTGGAATCAAAAGCAAATTCGCCGACATGGGTCTCTCTAGCAAAAGGCGCATGCGACGCAAATTCATTTGTGAAAGTCGCGGCAGAGGACAATGCGGCGACGGCAAAATCCATGCCTTCGTGTTTCAGAGAGTGCTGTTCATTTGTTTGCGTTAAACCAGAACGAGAGAGCTGCGGGTTTATTTATATGTATGTTTGCAGGGCACAAATACAAACACACAACGTGAAGTTATATTATTTGAGCTTGTTTGGACACACACACGCTTTTTGCCTTTCTAATCTAATTACGAGGCGAGCTTGCCGCCAAGAGTTATGTTTATTTGAGCATTTTTGTTTGTTTGTTAGGCCACGAGGAAACACACAAAAATGGAGAGAGAGGACAAATATTAAAATTCGTTGTCAAAAGCTGTGGCGGAAAGAGCAGTTGTTAAAAATGTGGATGAGTGTTTATTTTTATTTTTACAACTGGAAAGGAACACTGACATGAAATGTCAAAACGAATGACATACCATGACATTTTTGTCGCTTTTTAAGTTCAATTTGTTTGTTGGGATGAAAAAAGAAAAATCCTTTTCTCTGGCTTGAACTTCAAGAGATAAATTTTTTGCCTTTAGGTTTACAATTTCATTTAAAAAATCTGGTATTATAATGAAAAATAATTTTTAATAAAGACTTATTAAAATATTTTATTTGATCGTAAGCCAGGTAGTTTTGATTAACCATTTCTCTCATGTAATATTTTTTTATATTTTTGTAAACATTTATTATGCTTTTTTTTAAATTAAAAGAAATTACATTTCAAAATTACAATTCAAACAAACTTCGAAAATGTATTTAAAAACATAAGAATGTCATTGATTTCAATCTCTCCTCTCCTTCTTAATGTCTCTTATTCCTAAAAAAGTTGACTTTTCGGCTCAAATAATAGTTGGAAAGGTTGTTTATAAGCGTGTTTAAAAGAGAGAGAGAAAAATACTAGTTTTAGCAATTTTATTATAATTTTAGAGAATTAAAAATGTAACATTTAATTGTTTTTTGCAACTTTTAAGTTTTTGGTGGTTTTAATTAAAAGTTTTTCAAAATCCATTTGTTGTTGTTTAACATTTAAAAAAAATCTGGTATTTTTTTAAATTGATACTTTTTTTTTTATAAAGAAAGTTTATAGACTTATTTGTATTTTATGAAATCTATAACAAATTTATTAGACTTAAAATAATTCTAGCCCACTCTAAATCTTAATCCACCAAAAAATTACCCTTTCCATCATAATTCCATTAAAAAATTATTTGATTGAAGAGCAATTAAATTCCCCTTTCGAGCGCACCTAATTAAATTTATCCTAGAGCATTTATGGCCATTTTATGTCATTCGCTTGAAAATCGTCGAGCGCTCTCTAGCTTGAAATGCAAAGTTATGCGGGATTGACAACCACAGCATGCGGATGAGCAGGAGACAAACTCGATAAATCTGCATACAAGTGAGAACAATTCCGCAGTCAGACAATCCTGTGCTCTGAAGCCGCGAGCGAAGGAGCCCTTTACAAAACTCTCTCTACTGCACTGCTTCTGCCCCCGTCTCTCAGCAGCCCCTTCACCTTGCACTGCACCGCACGGCGACGTGCCTTGGCACAAACACAATGACTCACTTACCCCCGCTCTGTCTGACTGAATCCCTCCTCTTCAACCCCCTCGGTGCCGGGGTGAAATTATGCTGCCGGTTTTGAATCCACGCCCTGCGCATACTTTTTTTTCACGGATTTGTTGCCCGACGACCAAATTAAAATGCACACCAGCCCACGCTTGATTATAAAAGTTTGCCAATTTGATTGCAACTCGATATACACACCCCTCGCTCCAACTTCCTCTCTGCGCAAATGAGATGTGGTGGCGATAAATAACAAGCGCGTGTGGTTTGCACGCAAACCTCCCCCTTTAATTACAGGAAGCTTTTTGTTTTGTTTTGTGGACAGATTTAAAGTTTAAAAACCATCTGGACTGTAAAAAAAATATAATTATTAAGCTGGTGTAGAACGTCTGCTATGTTTGCAAATTGGGTCATTCTGATTAAAAAAAAAATAATAATAATAATACGAGACTGAAAACAAATTTCGTGACTTCCACCGAAAACAAGGCTCATTCGAGGTTTGTGGACAAATTTGGAGTTTGTTGAAGTAAAAGACATTTTTTTCGATATTTATTTCTATGATTGCTGCTCTTTGACAATAGATAATGCAAACTAATTTAAAATCTTCATCAAGCTTATGATTATTTAAGGAAGCACGTTGATATTTTTAATTTACTTTGATCTACTTTAATATAAAAAAAACCAATGCTGAGAACTTTTGAAAGTAAGTTTTGTGCTTAAGATTTTAGAAAATGCAAAATTGAAAACTCACAAGACTTTCTTTCATCAACAAATATTAGATCCAACTTTTTTAAAATTTATTCTCATTGTATATAACATAAAATTCTCGAAATTAAAGGATGTAGGCATAATGTTTTTGAGAGTTTGATGTTAATTAATTAATGCTATTTTCTTTAAAAAATTTTACTAATAATTAATTATGTTTTCTATAAAAAAAAATATATAATTAAGAGAAATATAATATGAAAATTACTGAATTATATGAAGTCATTATACAAATAAGGCTGGTGACTACTTATTCAAAACAAATTAAATTTTTTTGTATATATAATTTTGCTTGGAATGCGTGTTTTAAGGTTGCGTGCTCGGCGCACTTGTTGTTGTTGCAGGCGGCTAGGAAAATGTGAAGGCCGGAAAATGCGCGCGCTGGCCTGGCCGGCGGCGCGGCGGCCGCCTTCCTCGGGCCCCTCGCACAGTCTCTCCAGGACCCCGATGGTGGAGGACGGTGTGTGCACCACCGATGACGAGCTCAACTCTTCAGGGTCCGAGCTGGACGAGGCCGAGCAGCGCAGGGAGCTGCTCACTGACGTGAGTTTTTTTTTATTAAAAAAATTTTACAAATAAAAAGGCTAAAAAGCAAGAGAGGCTGTAATTTATAAATGATTTTTTTCACGTTGCCAAGTTTGTTGAATCCTTTTAAAAGAAAATCTCTTTCACTTTTGGTCCATCTCGAGTGCCTTTTCTGTTGGAAATCCACTCACTGCGCTCTCTTTCGGCACGGGATCTCCATTCTAATGAGCAAAAAATTAGCTTTTCCGTGCTTGGAGAGGCGCGTGTCATTGCTTAAATGGCAAGAGAAGAGCGTCGCCCAAAAGCAGAAGTGAAAAAAAGTAACAAAGAAAGAGAGACGCCGCCGCCTTTGCTGGAAAAGCTGCGTTAATTAGATGGGAGAGAGACGACGAATTTCTGGACTTCCCGCTTCTTTTGACAATGATAGATTAGTTTTATTCTAATCCAAAACTCTCTTGCCTTTGGCTTCCTCGCGTATTTTAAATTCAAAGAGAACCACCGCAGATGTTATCATTCACTCATTCGTCTTTTTGTTTCAGAAATGGAGACAGCTCTTTGACAAGGTGAGTTTTTTTTATTAATCTATTTCAATCTACATAATATTATCATTTTTGAAAGTGATTATGTTTGCAATTATTTATTTATTTATTTATTTATCACTAAATGACGAATGATACACTCTTCTCGTTAAAGAAAGAAAAAACCAATGAAAATTCTTTGATGCAGAATAAAGGTTTTATTATGATAATTAAAATCATGAAATCATCAATAATCAAATCTCATAGAATCTGCGTGATTTTCACAATTTGACAGCAAATTCTGACCATTGGGCACAATTAACAAAAATAACAACAGGCGTTTAGCCATAGCTTGATAATTTTTTTTTCATCATAACCATCTTGGTCAGGAATAAAAAGTGTGATTGATGGAACAAATTTCAGTCCTGGTCCCGCCATCATTTGTGTTTTGTTTTAATCCATGGTTGTTCCTAAATAACTGAATTTTAAAATTTAATCATTTATTTATTTTCCATTAATGATATTTTCCCATCATTTTCCAAATTATTTCGTTAAAAATTCGGAGCTTCAAGAACTCTTTCTTGAGACTAACTTTTAGTCCTATCAACATTTTTGCCAGAAAATAAATACATATACCAGGTTCTCTTTATAAATCAGACTTCTTATTATATCAGAATACAAAAGGTTTAATTACATTTTACCAATTTATGCATAACTTGAAGTTCTTTCAACTGAGGAACTGCTTTTCTCTGTGAGTGAACAAGAATTTATGGCTGCACCAAAGGCTCTCTCATCTTGTTATGCTAATGCGCTCGGCTAACTTTTTTTTCCATTTCCAAAAGTAATCTTTATCGCTATACCTAAAGGAAACATGTACAAATACATCACCCTCTTTCATCTTGATACCGCGCGTGTGTGCACCGCACCGTCTTGACTTCGGCGGTGCTGCCCTTTGCACTGCAGATATTGGTTTTTCATTCCGTGGCATTCAAGCTCCATATATGTACACATTCAGAGACGTATAATATTTATTCCCGTCCATAAATCTCGTTGGTAGGCGGAAAAAGTTTACACATGGAGCCTGCACCGGGTAAAAAATTCATCCAATATCGCGCCGCCCCTGCGATCCACAGTGTATGCAACACGCGCGGCATGGAAGACGCAAAATCCTTCCTTTTTCTCAGACTTTTTTATTAGCCGTGGCATTTATTGGGGCTGCCAAAGCGTTTAATATTGGATGCAACCGCCGCCGCCGCCGACCATTATGTCAGATGCATGTTTCATTCGGACGCAGATGGGAGCAGTTAAAGGCCCTCTGAGGAGCGCCGATTTTTCTTTGATTTCCCCTCGGTGCTTCTATCAGGGCAAAACGGCGCTCTTTTTCTCTCTCTCTCTCTCTGGGCTGAGCGGTGCGTGTTCGGAGAAATTACGGCCCATTTGGACATTTTAAGCAAGATGAAAGGCATGGGATGCTCAGCAATTTGCGCTCGCTTTATAGTGCAGGCAGTTTATGCAGATTTGCCACCACTAATGTGCCTCTGCCGCGAAAATAGCCTCATTCCCGAGGTCGATATTTGGTTAGGAACTCTCCTAGCTAAAATTGTGTGGAAAAAATGTATGAAATACAGGGTAAATTTAAAAATAAAAGAGTTATAGGAAAAAATAATAAATTTTTGCTTCGCAATGTTTTAATAGAGGGATTTTTTTTACCTAATTTAGAAATATTTAAAGTTGACTGAAGCAGATGAAATTAATAAAAATTTACTGATTATTATAAGGATGAACTATATCTATTCAGCAAAAAAATTAATAATAACAAAATATTTTACTGGATTTTTCAAATAGCAAACCTCTTGCAAGTTTATACATTTTTCACTGTCAAATAAATATTTGCAAAATTTGGAGAAATTTTATTTAATTTTGTCAATTATCTCCAGATTCCAAATGAATAGAAATAAAAATTTATCATAATATATGTATTATTAATTTGTGAATTGTGAATGAAGATTGATGAACTTATTTGTTTCACTTAAAAACTGAATTTTAGTTCAAAACATATTCGGAGGAGATTTTATATTTATGCTTAAAATTTAAATACATTTTGGTTATCTTCAAGTCGTATGTAACATAATTATATTCCTTTATCCTTGAACTCGGCTGCGGTGTGTACTATAAATAAGAGAATTCCAGATGTAATTAAGTTCAGTTGCGTGACACCAAATCATCATTAACCGGCAGCTCTCTCATCATCGCACGACGCGCACAAAACATGCTCGCCGCATTTCTCTGGCGAGGCTCGGATAAAAACGGAAAAGGAAGCAATGCCTGCCAGCACCCGCCGTGACCTGCACGCGAACTCTCCCATATCAAAACTCACTTCTCACTCGCCCCCTGTGCATCACGGCATTATAAAACACTCATAATTATTTTTTTTTTTAAATCTTTACTACGCTAAAAAGTTCTAAAAATCCAAAAAAGCGAGAGCATTTATTTCTTTATTTCTCTGTCTCTTCCAGTCAAGAGCGCGTGAATTTCGAGAGGGTGTTGAAAAAAATTCACTCACAGAAAAAGGAGATCAAAGAGTCGGCAGCCAGTAGAGTAGGCAACCGGGCGAGCACTCGAGTCGCGCAGGTTGCTCGTGAACGGTTGATTTTACGGTTTGCGCCGAGAGGGCACCACGAGGACTAAAACGGAATCAACACGTTGTGAATGAAACCCTTCAAACTTTAAAAAAATAATTAAACATAGAAATCTACTTCTGGAAAGTATTGCGGAAAATTTATCTATAAAAACTTTCCCGTTGCACTAAAATGTCTTAGCTTAAGAGCTGTTTAAAAATTATATAGTTCATTTTTTATTTTCAACATCCTAATAATAATACAATGATGTTTTTTTTCTTATAAAAAAAAAATGAAATGTATAATAACTGTGTATATATTATTATTATTTATTATTTTAATTTCAGTATGATCCTGAAGGGTTTGGAGAAATCCCTTGGGAAGACTTCATGGTGGCTCTCCGTTCTCCGGATTTTATTGCACAAGTGGAGCCAAATAAACGTGAAATTTTGACCGAAAAGGCGCAACAAAGACTAACATCAGCGATCACCTTCCAAGATTTTGTCAATGTGGTGAGTACAATTTCAATTTAATTAAATTTTAATAATTGTGCGTTTACTCATGATTAGTAAAAAGATCAATAAAAATGAATTAAACAGATTATTATCGAACACGTTTCTGACGGTTTCTGAATAAATTAATGTGCAAAATCTTCCCCCTTATTCTATCAGCCAGCATATTTCCGCTTGGTCGAGTTGCGAATCCTTGAGATCGGTAGAGCTTTGACCAAAATTGCATTCGCTGGCTGTTGAGACTTTCGTTCCTCATAGTCAAATTCTCTCCAATATCCATGTACTGAGTATGAACTGCACTAGGATCTCTTATATTATTTCGCTTTACTGGGATCCACTTCACACCAAGTCCAGAATCCGGAGTGGGATTTCTATTTAAATTTGAGATAAAATTAGTGGAAAGAATCAAAATTATGGAAAAAAAATTCCTCAATGAAAAATTTCCACTACATAAGTAAAAAAGTTACCCCTTTTTAGCGAAGTTTGCCCACATCGTTGTCAATTTATCAATAGTTGACAAATCTTTGGCAGTGAGATTTTTCCAATCTACTCCATTTCTTGAAAACAAATAACCTAATTCATCCCCGTGAGCAGATCCTGAAATTCACAAAATATTGCTCATCAATTAAAATTGAACAAAAGCAATAATTAATTGATGAGACCTGACATATTTGGTGGCATCAATTGGCTTTTGATTAGACTTATGGATCCTTCATATGAAAATTGGTAGTAATAAATTGGGCTCCTCCGCCGTTTTGCAACCTCACTTCGCACCAATTGATCCACACCAACTGCATATTCAGCATCTGAAGCCATCTGAGAATGATTTATTAATTAAGATTAATTTTTAAATTTCATGTAATAATCATATGTATACTTTAAAAAAAATATGTTATTTTTCAAATTGCGAATTTAGCAATTTTTCAATTTAGTTCGCTTGAATAAAAAAGGTTAGAATATCAGAAAAATCGCAAAAATTGCATGCAACTCGATTCTGCCCTGTAGAGTAATTTGACCCAAATTTATAGAGCTGCAAAGATTTAAATTTTTTTCAAGATTTTAATAGTTTAAAAAAATCGCAGTATTAATGCACAAGAAGTTTAAATTTGTTGATCTCATTCCTTGGCAATTTAGTGATTTTATAAAATTAAGTCTGTCTAGGTGGATTTTTTTTATTTAATTTATATCTGAATGACTTCTGCTAAAGAGAAATTATATAGTGGATCAAAATTTGCAAAAATATATTAATATTTCGCTACCGCAAGATACTGCTTCATTTCGTCAAGTGGAAGCGCTTTGTAAAAGTTCCTGATTTGCATCCAAGCGTCCTCAAATTCGCTACTGTTCCTTTTCAGACCAAGATCATAGGGAACGTAGTAAAATCGTCTTTCTCCAAATTCCTTTTCAATTTCAAGAGGACGCAAAACTAATTAAGGAACAAAATTTACTTTCTAGAGGATCCAAATATTAAAAAAATACAAATGAGGTTGAGAAGGGCCTCCTGGGTCATGACACCAGTCATGACTGGCACATCCATTATTCTTAAATTGAGAGGGTTTTTGGGCAGAACTGGTGAAGCGGTGTAATTTGGTTCTTGCGAAACGGTGAATCCATCGCGGTGCCACTCACGTGCCGCCACGACTGCGGCTTCGTCAAGGAATTTCTTCGGCTCGGTTTTCCGAAGACACTCGAGGGCCGCCTCTCCAGAGCCGCAGCCCAGGTCGGCCACCGCCCTGGCACCAATTTCAGCTCCATTGGGCTGAAAGGCCCAGGAATTCAGCGCACTTCCACTTTCTAAAATGGCTCGCTGAAATAGACCTAGAAAAATAAATATTAAATTTAAGTAAATCAATAACTCAGCAAAAATAACACTATTGGGAATGTTAAAATTTGAGCTAACAATGAAAATGAAGGTTTTATTTATCTTAATAAATCTCTATTTAGGTATTTTGATTTTTATATTTTTTATAAATAAATACCTCGGGATAAGGGTGATAAAAGCAAGAAGTTTACACTTGCAGATCCGGAACTCCACCCAAAAAGGGTCACTGATTTTGGGTTTCCACCAAAAGCCATGATGTTTTGTTGCACCCACTTGAGGGCAGCTAAGTTATCTTTCAAACCATAATTTCCATGCAACTCTGGAATCCCCGTATTTAGAAAACCTATGAACAGTAATTAATTTTAAATCTATTATTGTCCTCGCAGAGGGTTTTTAGGATTTTTCCAACCAAGCATTCCAAGCCTGTAGTTGAGTGTCACAAGAATCACGTTCTGATCAATCAGATATTGTGGACCGTAGATATCAGAATTTCCTGAACCCGTGGTCAGACCTCCACCGTGAATCCAAACCATTACGGATAAATTTGAAGCAGTCACCTGTTAGGGATGGATTAATTTCTCTCATGATACATAATGATTAGGGCGATACAAACTCTTATTAAGGCAAATATAGAATTGAAATAAAAAGCACATTTGTTAGAAAACCATTACAGAAGCAGCAACAAACTAAATCCAATATAAATATTCAAAGAGTAAATTAAATTATTTAAAGGGAACTCTATAGCTGCTGTCCGAGTTTTCTGAAAAAAGCTAGGATTTTCAGCCCTCAAAATATTTCTTAATGTCTCAATTTACGTTTGGAGTGTAGACGTTCAGAAAAAGGCAATCCTCGGAGCCCATGATTTGTCCCCTCATCAGTTGAAGACACACACTGCCCTCTTCTTGAGCCATCCGCTCACCCTTCCAACCACGATGATTAACTGGATCCTAAATGCAAATATATTAGGAGCTAAAAATTAAACATCGTAAAAAATAAACTTAAAAATTATTAATTTATATAATTAAAGAATAAATTAATAATTCAAATACAAAACAGTGTATTTTTTAAAAATTGTCTTAATAATTTTCAGCTGAAATTTAGGGCATACAATAGTTGAAAATAACCACAAAATAGGCTGCTTTGTTAATAAATACAAAGAGTTTTATGCTGGGAATTTATTAATTTCCTCCAATTTTCTGAACATAAACTACTACCCAAAATATTTTGAACACCGTCACAAATCAAATTGTGAAAAACCAACCTTCAAATGAAAGTGTTGGATTGAAAAAAAAAATAAACATGTTATGTCATAAGAAAGCTTACTAGTCAATATGGCCTGGGAGAGTATTAAGAATTTTGAATTTTTCCAAAGAGAAATACCCTGAATCGGAAATTTCCGATCGGTGGAGCTGCGAAAGGGATGCCCTGGAAAGCAGAGAACCTGTTGTTCAGCCTTGAGGTCATGAATTTGCCCACGAGGGTGCCCTGGCGAATGGCGACCTTTGGATTCGTTTCTTGCTGGTGAGAAAAGTCCACCAGCAGACAAATTATTGACAAAACACCAAAAGAGCGGAGCTCCATAGCTATATTTTTGGAGCAACCTTTCTCACTGATGAATTTTCTCTCACTAACGCATCTATCTAAAGTGACGAGACGTTTTATGGTTTCCGTATTGTGGTTTAACTTAAAACTGGCCGTGAGTTTTGTAATTCAAGTTTGGTCGGGTTTAACCATTTTGTCCTTCCGCTGCCTCTGTATTTTTCTCTGCGGCAGAACTCATGAGGTAAACAGGAAAAATTTTGGATTTTTTTCTGCTTTCCTAGTAATTTTATAAAATTTTCCAATTCCATGCTTTTGTATAAATTGCTAGCAAAATGATCGCGCGTTTCTCAAATTATTAGGTTGTGAATAGAAGCAATTTAGAGAATGTTAATGGCTGCGCCACGGTGGCCAGCCAAGAATAATTTCATAATTACTGGTTATAATAAAATAGTGGCTGCTGCTTCTCCTCATGATTGCCCCAAGTCGGTATATATACGCATATATGTGCAGCATTATTAATAATTTCTACTCGGACAGGCACAGGAGACTGTGGTGCTCTAATATTACGTGCTCTTTGGAACATAACCAGCTCACAAGAGGGAGCACAATATATGTTGTGAAGGTCCATGTTGTTATTATTTATTAATCTCTGGCCGATACGAAACAAGAGAAATAAAAGCAGATCGACGACCACGCCATTAATCTCATTGTGAAAATATTTGTACGAGAGCAGTATTTTAGAGAGCAATTTCAGATGAGCGGAAAATGGCACAAGAAAATACAAATATTAATTATTAAAGTATTTATATTTACTTAAAAAAAGAAATATCAAGCCTAGAAATGTTAATTCTAACAAAAGGGAAACCGATTTGTGAACAAGTTTTCTTAAAAGGAAGTCAGGAAATATTATAATGATAACAATGATGAATTATTTGAAAATATTATGTTGAAGAATGTCTTGTAAAACGTTTTAACGGACAGAAGAAAATATTCATCTTTGGAACTAATATTTAATTATATTTTTAACTCAATATGAAATATTTACAACTGAATAAAATAAATGTTTGGGACTTAAATCATTTTCTAAAATGGAAACACATTAACAGCAAAAACTTTTAGTTCTATGCCAACTATTTTATAAAAAAAACCTTAATTTATCGGAATGAAAAGAATAAATGTCAGACTCAGGTCAGAATAAATTATAAGATTCAGTCAGAAAAACCTCTTTCGCCAGTCTAATAAAATTACTATTTGGCCACGGAATAATATATTATGAAAATTCAAAATTTAAAAAATAGAGTTCCAAACTTATAAATAGTTGAAATGAATAACTGCCTGATTTTTTTATAGATTCTGTTGCTTTCATTACGATTTTAGAAATGGAATTTAGAATTTTTTTGTTTGTGAATAATATTGAATTGATGGAGAGTGAGAATTATCCTATCCTTATTAGGTAAAGAAGCGAAAGAAGTGAGACGTCAGCGAGCAACACTGCTGTGAGTAAATGCACGGAGCATTCGCTGCCCACATACAAAATAAGGAGGCAGCCGCGAATTTATCAAAAGCGAGCTCTCGCGTCTCGTACGAATAAAACAACGTATTCTTTTTTTTCCAAAGGTGCGAATGCTCCTCCCTGCTCACGTTGAAAACAAATCCAAACAGTGTTTCACTTATATCACTGCTGCTTCTTTTTTACCCACCTTTGACTCTGTGTGTGTTTTTGAGACGAGCCCATGACGTAATTCTCGGACTGACGACGACGGTCCTAACCTAGGCCGCAGAAAAGGAACCAAATAAAAAGACAGCGTGGGAACCGGGCGTGGTAAATACTGCAGCACTTCTTCTTACAAATCTGCTGTGCGGCGGTCCTACACACATATTCGTCGGGCTTAAAGTTAAAGCATAAAGTGCCGTCCACAAGAGCGGCAACATCTCTATTTTAAAACAAAGAATAAAATACTAAACTTGCTTTTTTTTTTAAGAAATTTTAGGGCTAATATTTTCATAAGTAATTCTTTTGAATAACTTCTAATTTTCAAAATTTCCTGGTCATAAATTATTTTTGATTTATTGTAATTTTAATTTTTACTTTCAATTAATTTCTGACTATTAGTTAAATCTGTTCATTATAAACACAACTCATTTAGGCTCACATTTTAAGCTGAAAAATTATTTAAAATTGCTAATTTTTATACGGAAGGAGCGTAAAATTGTTGTAAATTTTATCATTTTTGTTTTTGTCTAATGTTTAAAATATAACATTGATTTTCAAAAGACATTTTGGCATTTCAAAATTTAAAAGTAAATTACTTGTCTAAAATGAAAATTATTTGCTATTTTCATAATAATTTGAAACTTTTGCTTACTAGATGATATAGTTTATAACCCCTAACAATTCGTAAAAATTATGATTTTGACGAAAAATTTAATACGGTCTGCAAAAATTGGTTCCAAAATTCAAAAGGAGTTTTAAAGGTTACCAATAAAATCGTTTATCTGTCAGTTATGTCACCAGTATTTCAATTAAGAAAAACACAAAGTTATGCATTTTTTCAGACTTTATTTCGGAGCAAATTAGAAATAAAAGAGCAAAAAACTTTTTACACCTGTCTATCGATTGAATTTGGATCTGCAAAGAGATAATAAGAGTAAAAAACCTCACGAGTTAAATCGTTTTTAAGGAAGTGATTCTGTGTGGCACAATTTGTCTGACGCTGTGTCAGCACGAGATGACTTTGCAGAAAAAGCACAGCAGTGCAGGCGGCGACATCAAATTAAAAGGAGCAAAAGATGTTCTTCTCTTACTGTGTCGATTCCATTTTCCTCTTCAGAGACAAAATTAGCCCTGAAAATGCCCAGGCGAACTCACACATAGAGGCTTCTCTTTGTGCGAGCAATTTAATCTTCCTCCAACCAAGGCAGCTTGAAAAAGAAGAAGAGATTTTCTTCTGGCACACGAAAAGGAAACCTTTTGGTCGTATATGTATTATATTCCTATAGAAGAGCATTAAGCGTTTATTATTATGAAAAGAAGTTTTACTTATGTATTCATCAAGCCGGTCAGGGATGAAAAGGATTGAATTTATAACCGTTCAAAATAGATATTTCACAACTCACAATAGCAGGCGTCAGTTTCTTTTTAAGGGGTAAACAATAATTACGGCATTGTGCAGGTGTGATGTATTAACTTTTGTTGCTTTGAAGGATTATTTTATAACAACACAGCCATTTTTGTGGTGAATAAAAAATGCGTCTTGCGGCTTCGAGCAATTAATTTAATCATCAAAATAATGTGTGAAGAATCAACGAGCGAGCTTTCCCATTAATTTATAAATTAATCATTCCTATATGACTCATTCTTCAGCTTCCTCTGAAGTTTGTAAAGATATTTCATATATTTATCAAATGGTATTAAAATATAGATATTACTTCTGAAACAGATCAAGAATAACTGACAAGCATTTCCTATGAACAGTTAAGTTTTGAATGACATGATTGTGGCCATTTTCAAGGAAGTAAAAAATATACAAAATAATACAAAAAAATTTAATTATTAAGACAAAGGAACTTAAGTCTGCAAAGATTTTATTAAAATAAAAATTAAAAATATGCATAAAACTATTGATAAATAAATTTTTTTATACTTTTGTTAAAATATAAAATATTTCTTATGTAGAAGAAATATATGAATTTTAAAATATAAAATCATATTTTTTCTTTATAAAGCTCTTCTTGCCTAGCCATATTTTATGAGAAAAAATTCCATTATAATTGTTTTAACATGTTATGTTCAATTTAGTATTTTTAAATAAATTTTGTATCTTACTTCAAATTTCACAAGAAATAGGGCTGCTGTTGAAACTTAAAAAAAAATCTCATCAATTAAATAGCAGCTTCATGATTTTTGTCCTCCTCACTTTTTCAACTAATCAAAAAATGTATAAATGTGTCTATTCAATCTTTTTGGTGTTAGTTCAACTTACAAAAGGTATACTCGGTTTTCTGAGGCCTGAATGTTCAGCTGGGTGGCCTAACTTGTCTCTCCGTTTTGTGAGGAGGCCAAAATCAAGGCCGCTACGCCCCGTCCGAAAACCCGCGTCGCCGAGAGAGCTGAAAGCCGCGGCTCTCGTTGCCCCGGCAATTATGATAGACCTTCTGCCTGCCGTACCTGCTGGCAGGTCGTTTTTAATCAGGGATGAAAATTAATCACAAAGCAGGTGCGCATCACACGAGAGAGAGAGGAAAATAAAAATACAAAAAAGAAAACGGATCGCGCCGAGTTGCTCGTGGTGTGGCTGCGTGTGTGGTTTTTTGTTTCTTTCCTGCCGCTGGTTTGTTTGTTTGTTTTCTCGCGGGCCGCTAATGTGAGTGCGCGCGTCATTTGGAGGTTGAAATATTAATTTGAGCACCGGGCCATTAAGGTGAGAGATGCATTCAGAAAATAGCTAACGAGCTTCGCATTACACAAAGGAGGGAAATGTGTAAATTAATTATGAAGAAAACACAAAACATTATATGATGAAGAAAAAATAAAATTAAAAAAATTGGCCTGAAATTTTTTATTCAAACGGAAACCAATTATTTTTCACGATAAATGCAAAGAATTGGCAATTTCAGACAAACTGTAAGAGATTAAGTACAAATTTAATTTTAATTATGTCAAAATTTCCACGATAAATTGTCCCATAACTATTCAGTAATTTAAAACAAACAAAGTAACGTTTTGAAAAAGAAGAAAAAATTTTGTTAGTTTAGAGTAAAACAGCCTAATTTGCGAGTATGCGTTGTGGAGCAAGAGAAAAAAAACATAGTCACGTCTAAAATTTTGTTTCGATGTTAAAAAGTAGAAAGTTATTAATTAATTTTGAATAAAATGCTTACCAAATTATATTAATTCTCCCTTTTGTGAATGTTTGGATTCCTTACTACACAAATTTTTAGTTTTAACTTGTCCCCTTCCCGAAAACATCAGGTATTTTTTTTCTGTTCCATCCACGGATCTGTTTATTTGGCGGCGCACACAATGATAAATAAAGAGCGGCTGGACCTCTCCGCTGCTTGTCTATAGAGGAGAT